CTTATTTCTCTGGATTTAAACATTCTTTGAAACATTTGGGATAATGTAAGTACACAAGTCAGCAAAATATATAATACTGTTCTAGTGGTTTTTGGATATTTTAATAAAAAAATCTTACATATTGTGCCTTTAACAACAATAATAATTATTATTATTTATAAATTAACAATAATAATAAAAACATAATAATGTATGTACCTAATGTATTATTATTATTATAAAATAAAATTATGCTAATATGAAAAAAATTATGATAATTTTTTTGGATTTTTAATACTAAAAATAAACATCTAACTTATAAATAAACTTATTTACCATATTTATTTCATCTTACATCTTACATGGTTTTAGGCCCGTTTAACACTCTAGAGCAGCATAAGAAGTAATATAATTGCTTTATGCAATTGCTTTATTTATAGTTTTAACCGTCGTCTTATTTTGCAAAAACTCAAGTTCCCACTTCCAGAAATAACAGTCTGTATCACTTCCCTTCATAGACATTCAGAAAGGAGCAGGTGTCTGTGAGAAAGTGACTTACGGCGGTAATGGTTGACCAGCTGCTGTAAAGTACTGAACTGTGTGCGCGACGTGATGTAAAATCCCCCGCTGTCCAGCTTCCTGATCTTGTAATGTTTGACATTTAGGCCCTTGACGTTGTCGTAATCCAGGACAGAAAGACAGTAGGCACCTAGAAAGACACAAAGAACACATATGAGAGGTGAACTGGATGACATGGACGGCACTAACAAACATTTACCCAGGTTTTAGATTTGAAACTGTCAGACTGGTTTTTTTCTGTTAAATATTTATGCAACATAATATTAATGCAACAGTACTTTCAAATCTCTTTTTAGAAAATGGCCTCATTTTGATTCTATATTAATGCCCTAAATTAGATGCTTTTGTTGTTGGCAGCTATAAACAGAATTAAAATGAACAATGACTATTTATCTAGATAAAAAAAAGAAAAAAGTTGAAATTAAAATTATTATGATTAATAATAATAATAATATATAATAAAGTGTGCGCGACGTGATGTAAAATCCCCCGCTGTCCAGCTTCCTGATCTTGTAATGTTTGACATTTAGGCCCTTGACGTTGTCGTAATCCAGGACAGAAAGACAGTAGGCACCTAGAAAGACACAAAGAACACATATGAGAGGTGAACTGGATGACATGGACGGCACTAACAAACATTTACCCAGGTTTTAGATTTGAAACTGTCAGACTGGTGTGATGGGTGCCAGATTCTACTCTTTTGTAGCATTTTTTTCCCCCCTTGAGGTCGACTAAACTGAGCAAAAACATGCATTCGGTGCATTTCTTTCTTTCTTTCTGTTGCAGTTGACGGTAGCCATTGACTTCCATAAAAAAATTTTCTATACCATGGAAGTCAATGGCTACCATCAACTGTTCTTCTTTTGTGTTCAACAGAAGAAAGAAACTGAAATGATGACAGAATTTCTATTTTTGGGTGAACTATCCCTTTAAAAGTCCTTTTACTATGTAGTAGATTGTGTATAACAGGCCTTTCAACAACGTTTTGATCATGTTGATGATTCAGGTCTTAGAAATGTGCATTACAGTAGGCTTTATAGGGTTAATAAACACTGTATGAAATGGTCTGTAGAGGGCGCTGTCATCATTACACACGTTCACATGGCTCATTCATTTGCTCCCTCGTTCCCACCCCGGTCTTTCTCTCAGTCTCGTCTCTTTGGGGTTTGACTTATCCTTCAGCCTCTCTCGGTCTCTCCACGAGCCTCTCGCTGACGGGATGAGCTGTGAGATATGGCTCACGGTTATAGTTGACCTACTTGCTCTTCATCCCTTCAAGCACTTCTCTGACCTTCGTATTCTGTCGTATGCAACCATTTGCACTCTTTACATGTCATCTCAAATGAACATTGTTTGTGTAGAACCTGAAGGTAAAAGGCCATATATGGAGTGTGGATCTTTACAGTGTTTAGAGAGAGAGAGAAAAGCTGGTTTGCGGAGGGAGGAGATCAGGGAGTATGAGTGCGATTGCGTCTGACAAACAGAAAAGGGGAAATTAATTGAACGTGCACTTTGTTCTGATCTGAAATCCTGAAATGCAACTTCCTCAATGTAGACACATGCATGAGCAGTTTCCTCCACACTGGTGTTGGTTCTTTGTCATCACTGTCTTTAATAATTGTTTCTTTATTACAGTAGCTCTGGTCTCTGAATTTGACTGGCTGAGCAGCGTTCCAACAGCACTGGAATTGTTGCATTTGAGGGATGCTTTTGTTAAAAAAAAAAACAACAACAACCACATTTGATCAGTTTTTGCATTCCCTGAGATGTTGAACTCATGACCCTGAGTCCCTGACGTTATGAGTGCCAAGCTCTAATGTCTGAGCTACAGGAAAGACCAGAGTTTCGTTCCCTAGATTTCGGCCTTTGAGTTTGGCCTCTGAATCAACACTGTGACACCAGATGAATGGTAAAAAAGTGTATATATTCTATATTAATTCACAAAGCTGCTATGTTGCTCGGAAACTGTAAACAGAATTAAAACTAAATTAAAATGTTAAAATGTTTTATTATTTTTTAATGAATAAACAATATAAATGATAAATAATTTATTGTCTATAGTAGTAATAATAAAATTCATTTTATTTTTAATAATAAATAATAAATAAAATAAAACATTTTATTGTGATTTTATGGTATTAGATGGATTCATATATTTAATATACTCTTGTAGGCCGTATATATATTTTTTTGCTTTGTTGCTTTTAGTATTTTGGATACAATTTTAATAATTCTTCTCATAATTAATAAATGAACAATAAATAGCTTAAAATATTTTATTGTGCTTTTATGGTGTTTTGTGGATGCAATTTTAATAATTCTTCATATTTTTTAATAATAACTTAATAATAAATTAAATATTTTATTGTGCTTTTATGGTGTTAGATGGAATAATACATTTAACATACTGTGTATGACATATATTTTTGTGTTTTTTGCTTTTGCTCCTTTTAGTTTTATGTGGACATAATTTTAATAATTATTTTTACCTTAATAATTTAACAATTCTTTTTTATTTTAATATGAAATTAATAATAAACAAAATAAAATATTTTATTGTGCCTTTGGATGGATTCATATATTTAATATTCTGTGTAAACTGTATATTTTTGTGTTTTTGCTATGCTCCTTTTTTTGTTTTTTAATTTTAATAATTGTCTATTTCTGTACATTTTGGAAGACTAAAAGATGAAAAATAACCTTTGGCTAAATCTGGTGCATTTACAGAAATGTTTATTAATGTGCACTTTCCCTGTGCACACACACACACACACACACAAAAATAAAATAAACAAATAGAAATAAATAAATAAAAATACAAAATAAAACACAACTAATAAATAGATAGAATAAATAAAATATATAAATAAAAAAAGTGTTCAGAGTTTCTACTGTTCACATTCAATTCACCTTTGGTTGTCTCACTCTCTCTGACCAGGAAAGTTCCTCTCCTGTTTTCCAGACTCAAGAGGAGGCGCTCGGAGTCCCTGCGTGTGATCTTTCCAAAGTACCATCTGGAGAGAGATGGAGAAAGAAAAAAAGAGAGAGAGTGTATTTAGAGTAAGTAATCACATGTAACATTGTATCACAGACATGCAGTTGGCCAGAAACACAGCTTATGCTAATACACAGACAGAACTACGATCCCATTGTGCAAACATATAAGAAAGGTCTGTAAGAATATACTCACCGAGGATGCATTTATTTATTAACATTTTTGAAATATTATTACAATTTAAAATAATTTATCTTACTAGGGCTGGGCGTTTTGACGATATTATCGTATATCGACGATGTCTTGCAAGTATCGCGATGTCGATAATAAAAGTCAGTTACAGACGATAATCGCCAATATCGAGAAAAAAATTACAAATATATTTAACATAGTCCCGTAGTTACCATGCACATATTTATTCACATGAAATAGCATGAATGAAATATTTTGTAGCCTATGCTAGTAGCTAATTATTAAGGAATAAAAAATCTATTCTGGAATCACTTAATTTACTTAAGGCCAGGAATCGAATAGGCCTACTCTTTATAAAACTAACAATTCTTTTTATTTTTACTTATTAATAATGTTTTTATTTTTTATTTTAATACATTCTAATTTCAATCCTATGCTGTGTTTGTATTTATTTTTGTGCACTCTCCTCACAAACACGCTCAAGGAAAAGGAAACTTGAGATGGCAGAAAGCAGAACCTGTTTTCTTTATTTTACAAAAACACAATGTTTTGTTTTTAATGTGAGTGTACGCAGATAAAATTAGACTCTTTACAGTTTATGTATTTACCATAATTGACAGAGTATTTTAAGTTGTTTTCCCTGATGTAAGGAAGGAATTCAATATTTTATTGTGCTTTTATGGTGTTTTGTGGATGCAATTTTAATAATTCTTCATATTTTTTAATAATAACTTAATAATAAATTAAATATTTTATTGTGCTTTTATGGTGTTAGATGGAATAATATATTTAACATACTGTGTATGACATATATTTTTGTGTTTTTTGCTTTTGCTCCTTTTAGTTTTATGTGGACATAATTTTAATAATTATTTTTACCTTAATAATTTAACAATTCTTTTTTATTTTAATATGAAATTAATAATAAACAAAATAAAATATTTTATTGTGCCTTTGGATGGATTCATATATTTAATATTCTGTGTAAACTGTATATTTTTGTGTTTTTGCTATGCTCCTTTTTTTGTTTTTTAATTTTAATAATTGTCTATTTCTGTACATTTTGGAAGACTAAAAGATGAAAAATAACCTTTGGCTAAATCTGGTGCATTTACAGAAATGTTTATTAATGTGCACTTTCCCTGTGCACACACACACACACACACACAAAAATAAAATAAACAAATAGAAATAAATAAATAAAAATACAAAATAAAACACAACTAATAAATAGATAGAATAAATAAAATATATAAATAAAAAAAGTGTTCAGAGTTTCTACTGTTCACATTCAATTCACCTTTGGTTGTCTCACTCTCTCTGACCAGGAAAGTTCCTCTCCTGTTTTCCAGACTCAAGAGGAGGCGCTCGGAGTCCCTGCGTGTGATCTTTCCAAAGTACCATCTGGAGAGAGATGGAGAAAGAAAAAAAGAGAGAGAGTGTATTTAGAGTAAGTAATCACATGTAACATTGTATCACAGACATGCAGTTGGCCAGAAACACAGCTTATGCTAATACACAGACAGAACTACGATCCCATTGTGCAAACATATAAGAAAGGTCTGTAAGAATATACTCACCGAGGATGCATTTATTTATTAACATTTTTGAAATATTATTACAATTTAAAATAATTTATCTTACTAGGGCTGGGCGTTTTGACGATATTATCGTATATCGACGATGTCTTGCAAGTATCGCGATGTCGATAATAAAAGTCAGTTACAGACGATAATCGCCAATATCGAGAAAAAAATTACAAATATATTTAACATAGTCCCGTAGTTACCATGCACATATTTATTCACATGAAATAGCATGAATGAAATATTTTGTAGCCTATGCTAGTAGCTAATTATTAAGGAATAAAAAATCTATTCTGGAATCACTTAATTTACTTAAGGCCAGGAATCGAATAGGCCTACTCTTTATAAAACTAACAATTCTTTTTATTTTTACTTATTAATAATGTTTTTATTTTTTATTTTAATACATTCTAATTTCAATCCTATGCTGTGTTTGTATTTATTTTTGTGCACTCTCCTCACAAACACGCTCAAGGAAAAGGAAACTTGAGATGGCAGAAAGCAGAACCTGTTTTCTTTATTTTACAAAAACACAATGTTTTGTTTTTAATGTGAGTGTACGCAGATAAAATTAGACTCTTTACAGTTTATGTATTTACCATAATTGACAGAGTATTTTAAGTTGTTTTCCCTGATGTAAGGAAGGAATTCAAGTGCACGCCGTCGCCTCACGCGTGCACACATCAATTCTAGCACGGCTTGACATCGCAGTCTGCTCATTATCAAAAATAAATAACAAATAAAATACCATATAACATTTGTAATTATTTTTTTTCCCCAAATAAATAATGCTGCATTTTTTAAAATTTCGTTATAAGAGGCCTATAAGGACACCTCTGAGCTCTAAAAACATGAAAGGAAAAAATAACCTTTCCGTCTTTGGTCATGCAGAAGGAACTACCGTATTGACCCGAATATAAGACAATGTTTTTTTCTTGGAAATACATCTGAAAAAACGCGGTCGTCTTATATTCAGGGTCTAGACTTTGACATGTCAATAATACACCCACAACAATATAATTAATTTTAAATAATAAATACAATAAATACAGCATCCTGCGTGATGACTCGTGAACAAATTGTTCTGTTGAGTCAGATCTTTTCAACACAGAGCAAGTGACTCTCATGAGTTGGTTCTTTTTCATGAATCAGTTTTGCGACTCATGAATCAGTCAGGGCGGTTAGAAAATGAACATGTGACTGATGAACTTCACTGACTAAACTGCTGACTCATAACAAATTGAAATAAGCAGTTTCTTTCAACTGTTGTTGTGTTTAGTATAATAATCATCAATGGAGTCAATAAAGACCTAGAATCACGCTCAGCTGAATTGAGAGATCTGATTAGAGTGAGGGGAATAAAATGCAAACCAGAGGATTCACAGGGAGGAGAACAGCAAAGAAAAGGAGAGAAAGAGGAGGAGGAAGAGGATTTACTCTTCAGCCTGGATGGAATCAGACGGTGCCACGTAATTGCTGGGAATGTATCCCCTCTCTCCTGTCGTCAGCGAGCGAGCCAGCCACCAGTCGCCCTCCCTAAGACGGCAGAAAACACACATAACACACCTGCAGTTTGACTCACATTCATCATATTTGGTGACACATTCAAGACATCTTTCTTAACCGCCCAAAACATACACCCTGAGATTACATCTGCGGTATCATTCCTGCTTTATAATCCATTAAATGAGCCAAGAGAATGCAGACAAAGCTGCTCCAAAGACATCAACTACCTGTGCCAAATTATGCATAAATGAAACATGCATTTAAAGGGACAGTTCACTTCACCCAAAATAAACACAGTCATCGTTTACTCACCCTCACATTGTTCCAAACCCATATTACTGAATCTTACTACTGTATATATCACGTTCCTCTCATGGAGTGTGTAACTATCATATGTATGTGTGTGCCAATATATATATATATATATATATATATGCATTTATTGCATATAGGCTGCATTTATTTGATCAAAAACACAGTAAAATAGTGAAAGATTACATTTTTAAAATAACTGTTTTCTATTTGAGTACATTGTAAACTGTAATTTATTCCTGTGATGCAAAGCTGAATTTTCAGCATCATTACTCCAGTCTTCAGTGTCATGATCCTTCAGGTGTCATGATCCTTCAGAAATCATTCTAATATGATGATTTGCATAACATTTCTTATTATTATTAATGTTGAAAACAGTTGTGCTGCTTAATATTCTTGTGGAAACCTTGATTTGTTTATCCAGGATTCTTGATGAACAGATAATTCAAAAGAACATCAGCATTTATTTGAAATAGAAGTGTTTTGTAATGGATGTCTTTACTGTCACTTTTGATTAGGGTTGTAAAGGGGTCGGAAAATGTCCAGCAAAGTTACCAAAAAATCTTAGAAAGTTTGCAAAAATGATGGAAAGTTCTTTGTAAAGCCTCTTTGTAAACCTACGTTTGGTCAGTTTAACGCTTCCTTGGTGAAAAGTATTAATTCCTTTAAAAAAAAAAAAGTGCTATATGCCTTCATTAAGTGTGAAAGTGCAGCACAAGCATTCATCAAGATATCTCGTTTTGAGTTCTATTAAAGAAAAAAAATCATATGGGTTTGGAATGATGGATTTTTTTTTCATTTTGGGTGAATTATTTACTACAAAACTGGTAGATTTATCAAAAAAAACGAGTCATCGGTCTGGGTCCCTATTGTCTTGGAGTCTTGATGGGTTTTTAATAATAGATGTTGTGTTTTAGTGTGAGCTGTGGGGTGTCAGACTGTGACTCACTCCTTAAGCTAAAGTAATAAGATTCATCCATCGCCAAGACATGCTGACCTGACACAAACCTCTCCAGGTCTCTGAGCTATTGCTAGCTGTTGTTAACCGTAATTAAAACATAACCGCTCCAGTGAAAACAATGACATACAGTATATACACAGATGGGCACATATTCATATTCATAGAATGCAAATATATTATTCATACACAGGGTACCATTCAAAATTCAGATGTTAATTAATTATTTATGTATGAAAAGGTATAAAAACAGTGATTCTGATAAGCAGGGTTTCTTGGAAGATAAAAAAAATGTGGCTACAATTGAGCAATAATTTATGTAGAAGACATTGATGCTAATGCTAAGACTTTAACTTTATACTTCAACTCTACACATAACTTACTTATGAAACAGTCTACTTTTACATTAAACTTTTAATACTATGAAGCACAAACTACAATATCAAATTGCATCAAAATCATCATTTTTCACATATCCTTTGTGTTAATTTGTGACCCTGGAGCACAAAAGCAGTCTTAAGTCGCTGGGGTATATTTGTAGCAATAGCCAAAAATACTTTTTTTGCTCCCTCAGATTCCAGGTTTTCAAATAGTTGTATCTCGGCCAAATATTGTCCTATCCTAACAAACCATACATCAATGGAAAGCTTATTTATTCAACTTTCAGATGATGTATACATCTCAATTTCGAAAAAATGACACTTATGACTGGTTTTGTGGTCCAGGGTCACATTTAGCTAAATGCTAATGCTATCTTTTACTTTTAAGTTCATTCATTTACTCAACCCATAAAACTGACTGAATTTGATTTATTTTAAGTTTTGTTCAAGTCTGTTATCTTTGAGGCCATTAGAGTATAGCTAAATATGTGCTGAGTTTTTCAATTCAGAGATTTTTGTCATGAGAACTACAGTAGCTTGTTAGCTAAACTGAAAATGCAGCCAACAGTCTTTACATTTTTACTATGTTAATAACGCTGTCTGAACATTTTTGTTTTTAAGTTTATTAATTTAAATGACCACATGAAAGCAAAACTTGACTGAACTTTAGTTAAAGTTATTACCCTGTTGAAAAAAACAGCATATGCTGGTTAGGTATGTTTTGACACTGGGATGCTGGTTTAAGCTGGTCCTTTGCTGGTTTATGCTGGTCCTTTGCTGGTTTAAACTGGTCCTTTGCTGTTTTAAGCTGGTCCTTTGCTGGTTTATGCTGGTCCTTTTGCTGGTTTATGCTGGTCCTTTGCCAGCACATGACCAGCATAAACCAGCAAAGGACCAGCTTAAACCAGCATCCCAGCGTCAAAACATACCTAACCAGCATATGCTGGTTTTTAGCTTCAAGGGCATCTATATGCTAGTGTTCTGCTAGCATAGCACATATGTTCTAAAAATATTTACGTATATGCTTTTAGTCTTACATTTTCTGGGGGTTCATTCACTTTATAACCCCATGAAATCAAAATCAGACTTTAGTGGGTTGTAGTGCAAGTCTGTTCATATTCAGGACATCAAAATGCTAGTTTACTTCCACAAAAGCCTTTAGTTTACATGTTTACTATTTAAAAAAGGGACATGTCGACAACTGCGACAACTTCCTGTTTAAACAGGAAATAATGTCAACATAGAAAAAAAATATTTGACATTATTTTCATTGTTAGGGCTTAACCTAATCTAGCATAGCATACAGTACAGATACAGTAGCATGAATATTAGCATGTAGCCAAAGCAAATGTAAAGGAACAATGAATAATACACCAATGGACCAACCACAAAGTCAACATGAAGGACAAATGTAAAATTGTCGTGAGTGAGCCAGTTATGAGGAGGTGTGACACTATTTCTGCACCACTTCCACAGTCTCTGGAGAGTCAGTACAAATCTCAGGTGGACAAGCAAACAGTGAAATCACACACACACACACACACACACACTGGACACTGAATGGACACTGAAAGCTGAAAGCAAGAGCAACTTTACCAACCTGGGGTTCAACTTTCTCCTACATAAACGAGAGAGAGCGTGTAGAGAAAAAAAACACAGAGGAGACATGAAGTGTTTGGACATTAAAAGCAGAAAAAACAGAACATCCCACATAGGCTTAAAAACTGACTGAAGGTCAACCGCAGCAATGATGCACTGAAAACACAGCATTTATCCAACTCATCTCTGCTCATCATGTCAAGTACTAAAAATATGGAAAGCAATTATTGTAATGTGCGTTTGATTATCTCTAATTGTGTGCTGACACACGACAAGCTGGAGCAGCTTGGTGATTTTGTTAAAAAGCTGATTACTTTATTATCAGGAGCTTCTGGGAAGGGTTATGGACAGCGGTGGGGATTGGTTATGGTTTAAAGGAACACTCCACTATTTTTGAAAATAGGCTCATTTTCCAACTCCCCTAGAGTTAAACAGTTGAGTTTTACCGTTTTCGAATCCATTCAGCCGATCTCCGGGTCTGGCGGTAGCACTTTTAGCTGCAGCTTAGCATAGATCATTGAATCTGATTAGACCGTTAGCATCTCGCTCAAAAATGACCAAAGAGTTTCTGTATTTTTCCTATTTAAAACTTGACTCTTCTGAAGTTACATTGTGTACTAAGACCGACAGAAAATGAAAAGTTGCGACTTTCTAGGCCGATATGGCTAGGAACTATACTCTCATTCCGGCGTAATAATCAAGGAACTTTGCCATGGGTGCAGCGATGCAGCAGGCGCAATGATATTACGCAGCGCCTGAAAATAGGCTTATTGGAAGTTACCTAGGCTGGGACTATTTTCAGGCGCTGCGTAATATCATTGCGCCTGCTGCACCCATGGTATGGCAGCAAAGTTCCTTGATTATTACGCAGGAATGAGAGTATAGTTCCTAGCCATATCAACCTAGAAAATCACAACTTTTTATTTTCCGTTGGTCTTAGTACACGATGTAACTACAGAAGAGTCAAGTTTTAAATAGGAAAAATATAGAAACTCTTTGGTCATTTTTGAGCGAGATGCTAACGGTCTAATCAGATTCAATGATCTATGCTAAGCTGCAGCTAAAAGTGCTACCGCCAGACCCGGAGATCGGCTGAATGGATTCGAAAACTGTAAAACTCAACTGTTTAACTCTAGGGGAGTTGGAAAATGAGCCTATTTTCAAAAATAGTGGAGTGTTCCTTTAAAGGGTGAATCTCATGAAAACATCCGGGTTTTTTTAACCCAAACTGTTCAAAATCCCCATAAATGGTTCTAACTACAACACTATTTTGGTAACTTGTTTTAATATAAAAAAATAAAAAAAAAGATTTAAAAAAGTTTTAATATTTAAAAATTTATTACAAAAAACTGCACGTGTATCTTTACATGTTGTTACAATGATGCTGATTTCAGTTTCATGAACCTTAAGTACGCATTAAGTATGCTTCATTTCGAGTCTGGTATGACTTAATGACTTATGATCATTAAATGAATCATGCTAATTTTGACTTATATTTTAATAATTTTGACATTATAAATATATATATATATATATATAAGCAGCCTTGGTGAGAATATGGCCTTCTTTCAAAAACATTAAAATCTTACTGACTCCAACTTTAAAAAAAAAAAAATTATTTAAGCTTTTTGTTACTTTTTTAAATTTTTTTATCTCATTTCTGTGTAAAAGTTTTTTTTGTAGATCCCATTATTTTCAAAGATGGTTCTCATTACTGTAATACACTAATATATACTGTGTTACAAAGATCAAATTTAAAACCTAAATTGGCATAAATAAATAGCAGTATAACACATACTTGTTTTCGTACTAAATTACAGTTTGGGACTGCTTAATTGTCATGAAAATAACATCACAATGTAAACATTGTTAATGTTACTAAAAACAAGCTTCATCATCATTCAGCGAAATATTATTTCTCATTTCCTTCTCTTGATTTTGGGTTGAAATATGAACCGGCCATGTTCTGTTTCGAGAGATTCACCCATATATCACACTGCATTGGGCCTGACATTAAAAAAAGCAATTCCCCAGGTCCGCTTTGTGCCGAAACCAGAGGATGTTACTGAGATTGTTTTTATTCTCTTAACGGTAGCGCTGTACACTGGAATAAGGAAGTGAAGCGCAGGTGTAGAAAGGAAGGAAAATGCTCCCTTTGGTCCGGGAGAGGAAGTGGAGGTAAAGACGTGCAACTGAGCTTTTTGTGTGTGCACAGGAAGACCAAAAAAGGAATCCAGAGAACAAAAAGCCGTCATCCCACAAATACAGCGCCTTCAGAGGGAGCCAGTTCCTATGGTTACCGAAGAGGAAGGGGGGCTACAGCAGTCAGACAGATGAGAGACATGAGTGTGTGTGAATGTCTGCATCAGTGGGTGTGTCTATTGCCCTCCGGAGCCCTGTTATTTTTGTGTGAGTGTGTTTGTGTGTTTCCCCCTTACGTGTTATTGACAATCTGGAGTCGTTCTCCTTTCCTGAATGACAAATCAGAGGCGGTTCGTGACTCGTAGTCATACAAAGCCACAAATGTGGTCACGCCGCCTATGGAAAAATACAAGAGACAAACATAGACCATTATCTTGATGCATGCAATTCAAAAACTTCAGCAGGGAAATGTCATTAACCCAAGTAATATAATGCAATGTTGGGTTGCCAGTGAAAATGGGCATCTAAAAATTGTCTAGACTTGTACAGTCAGACTTTTGACTACCAGCATAAGAACTCTAAGAAGCGTCAAAGTGTCATCTAAGCTGGTAAATCTGAAAAAAAATTTTTTGCATGCTGGTCTATTAAAGTAATGCTGAAATCAGGGTTATTATAGTTAACTGAAAATAAAACCATTGAACAAACAAACTTTTATTACTTGAAACAAAATAAAATCAACATAAAAATAAATAGTATTAAAAATGTATTTTATTAATTGAAATAAAATAAAATAAAATGTATAAAAAAATAAATAATATAAAAAAACATTTTATTAACTGAAATTAAATTTATATATAAATCAATAATATAAAAATATATTTTATTAACTGAGTTATATAATTAATATATAATTAAAAATATTTATTTCAGTTAGTTGCAAAGGCAAAATGTCTTATTTTCATTCAGTTTAACTTAATGTACTAAAATAAATAAAACAGAGATAAAAATTAAGGACTATAAATACTATACAGACATATTCAACAAAAACTAATAAAAATGACAAAAACACAAAACTACTAAAACATTAACCAAAATAAATGTACAGTATTATTTACTTAATTACAAGTAAATTTACTTAATTACTTATTATAAAACATATTATTATTAATAAAAGCCTATTATTATTTGAACATGTATTTAAATAATGGTGCAGCAGTTTCCATGAATGGTTGTATAGACAATACTAAATAATTTAGAATAATACTGAACAAAATTTCAATCCATCAAAACCTTAAAAAGACCAGTCATTTTGTGGACAAACTACGGTAAATTAAGCAAGTAGTTTTCCACAGAAATTGCTCACTGTAGCAGCTGGGTATCATGCACACAAATTTGTTTCCACACAGAGGGACAAAACTTCTGCATCCTCCACTCTCAGAGATCTTGGAACGCCGGCCAATCAGATCAGAGCTTAGGAGTTCGGAAAATCCCGCTCTATTTTTGTGTGCAGCATGCATCAGATGGTCCATTAAAGGTCTGACAGGTCTGATTCACTTCCTGTGATTCTCATTCATGAGATTTAAACAATAAATTCATAAAAAATTGATTGCACCTACTATTATTATATATATACACAAATCTTTAATGAGCCTAATTTAGATTTAGAAAATGGTGCAACTGTTCAGTTAATTCACCCCTCAGACGTCTTGGCCCAAATCCGTTAACACTATAATACTGAAAGTCAGCAAAAGCAGAAGTGTAAGGATACTGATCAGACATAATCGCTGCATTACCGGAAAGCGTGCCGACCCTGTGAGGAGACGTGATGCTGTTGTTCGAGTTCACTCCTCCAAACAGCGCCTGCTGAGCATTGATGATGTTGGGCTGGGTGCCGCGTCTGGTACCGTCCACCGGTGGACTCCGGTTGGGTGTGAAGGACGACTGCTTGGGACTGTGATGGTGACCTCCAGTGCCGTCGTCTAGACTCCGGGAGCGCTGGCCGAGCTCTTTGGGTTTACTCTTGGTTCCACCCATGGCCTAGACCTGCAAAGAGACAGACAGCCAGTCAGCTGATGCTTTTACGCAAAACACCTTGCTAGAGTCAAATTCAAGTAGCTTATTAAAAATAAAAAATAGTATATAATTAAAAAATATAGAAATAAAATGTAAATATAAAAATATTTAATATTTATATAAAAATATATAATAAAAATAAATATGAATAAAATAAATATAAATGCATGTATTTATTTACTTATTATATTGTATTTAAATAAATAAATAAATAATCTATCTAAAATAAAACAATAATAGATGAATAAACAATAAATACATTTGGATGGTTTATTAATCATGTTTTACAGTATTTGAAGTCTAGATTTTTAACCACTGTGCCACACTACCCGTAACAATCTATTACATTCATAAATCGTTGGACTTTTTAAAATTTTTTTCTATATAAAAATATATATATTTTTCAGAAAAATAACTTTGATGCAATTTGTACCATTAAAAAAAACTTCAAACGAATATTTGACCCCCCTCTTTTTCCAGCACTGCCGCTAAAGACTGGCCCGTTTTCATGATTTATGCATGAACTTCATGAATTATTAACCAACTATGTATGCAGGCAATATTCTGTTATTCCTTAAGTAACACAAATAAACTGTGATATTGGTGCACTGAAATATCTTTATCTAGAGAGATATTCAGTATTAAACCATAGTCTCATTACTGCATATGAAACAACACAATAATAAAATTCAAGCAATTTTAATTAACTAGATTTACATTTTCTGAAGAAATGTGAGCGGTGTTCTTTACGGTTTTAAAATGAGGTTTTAGAAGAAATGAGAAACAGTGAGAAAAAAATGAATTGAAAATTGAGCCAGAATGGAATGAAGCCATTCTACTCATGCATTTCTAATTCTACTGATGCAATTTTACTAAAGAAATAAATAACTGTTTGGTTATTGGTTAACATTGTCCAAATGCCACTTGACTTAATGTAGCTGAAAATGATGCATTTTGCATCAAAGATGTTTCAGATAAGTGATTACCCTTTGATTAAAGATTACGAATACTATTTCGTAATCAATGACATGCACTGATAAGTCGTTCTCAATAACATCAGGAATGTATATTAAAAATAGGATGCAAAAATGTACAAATTTATCCTTGCTGTTAGAGGTTCTGCCTAAGCATGCCCTATTAATAAAAAGTCAGAGATTACTACAAGCAACCAAAAAAATTAAAGGTGCAGTATGTAATATTGACAACTAGTGTTTGAAATGGGAACTGCAGTCCAAATTCAAAATAATGGAGATATTGGAGGTTATTTCTCCCGTCCCCTCCTCCTCAGACTCGACACTCATGTGGGTTGCCAGATTGAGGACATGCAACAGGAAAGGCTGCAATTGACGACAGAAGGCAACAAGCCTTACACTGTAGGCTGATGAGTTGATTTATCCACGTTTTAATATTCCTCCAGTCACAGAGCGTTTCAGATGGATGCCAAGGCTTTTAGGTCGGGTAGAATCTGCAATCTCTGACCCAGTTCATTTGCTGGTAAAGGTGCAGTATGTAATATTGACAACTAGTGTTTGAAATGGGAACTGCAGTCCAAATTCAAAATAATGGAGATATTGGAGGTTATTTCTCCCGTCCCCTCCTCCTCGGACTCGACACTCATGTGGGTTGCCAGATTGAGGACATGCAACAGGAAAGGCTGCAATTGACGACAGAAGGCAACAAGCCTTACACTGTAGGCTGATGAGTTGATTTATCCACGTTTTAATATTCCTCCAGTCATAGAGCGTTTCAGATGGATGCCAAGGCTTTTAGGTCGGGTAGAATCTGCTATCTCTGACCCAGTTCATTTGCTGGCTTCCATGGCTGCAATACGCTGTGTTTTCCACCAATTGGCAACCCGGGTTGTCGAAATACTATTGGGTAAACTGGCAATGGGCGGAATCACACAGAACAAAACAAAAACAGACATTCCGACACGGAACGCACATTTTAAAGCAAAGTAATTGGCTGTAGCGTTGTTTTTCGGAGAAACGAGTATGAGAACTTAACATGTTTCCTAAATATCTACAAACATATTATGGTATTTTTATACTTTGTACCATCAAAAAATTACATACAGCACCTAAATAATGCTGTCATTTTACACAGACAGATCTGATCAAAAGAAAAAGGCCAGAGATACCAAGTGGCTGCAGTTTGTGTGACCCACGGTAGCATGAGGCTGTGTTTAGTGCATTTTAACCTCGCTTCAGTCGAGTACAGGAGCGCTCAGCTGTTTCCTCTCACATACCAGTGACAGCCGCTGCAATACGATCCTCACGGACCCCCAACACACACACACACACATTCTTCCACATGTCATGCTGTCCGTCTGCTAGCACACACACACATTCTTTGAGGGACAGACAGAGACACTTTCCCATCCACCCACACAAACCTCACTAAACACAAGCTTCCTTACGGTCCTCAACTCTCTATAAACGTGCAGAACAAGCCCCCGCTTGCCTACAGGGTGATAAATTCTACAAAAACGGAAGCCTCTTGTGCCAGAAACCCCGGCGGACTGGCAGCTCAGGGCGACCCGTCTCTTAGAGGAGCTGTTACAGGCCCGGCGGAGTGGAACTAATCTCAGCCGAGCAGTGTGAATGCGGAGTTAGAGCGCGGCCGAAGGCCCTAGAGCCCTGCAAGCTTTCACTAGAGACCTGCGCACTTCAGGTTCACTGGCAGTGCTGCAAACCGTACAGTCACAAGACTGGAGTTATGAGGGGAGTGCTCAGATACGCGCTCTATACCATTAAAGACCTGCACTGACCCTGAAATGATAGGAAATTCAAGTTATTTTTTCATGATAATGTCTGTCCACATCAATTCCAAGTGACGCTGAATGAAATATGGTATTTACAAACAAGTTCTCATGCAAAACTGTTTACAACAAGTGCAATGGCAGCTTTTTCTTCACTCTTTGAAAAAAGGCATGAAAAGAAAGCAAATAGAAAAACAGACTTGAAATGACAACACATAAAAAAACCCATAAAATAACAAAAGAAAAGAAACAAAAACAAATGAACAAAATAAAAGAAAACAAAAAACAAGACACAAAATAAAATAAATCCATAAAACAAAAAATAAACTTAAAGAAAAAGAAAAACAAGACATAAAATGAAACAAAAATAAAATGAAGAAAACAAAACAGAAAACAAAACAAAAACCAAAACAAAATAAGATAACAAAATAAAATAAAGAATAAAGAAATATACATATATAAAAGAAAAAAGGTTAAATAATCATAAACAAAATAAAAACTAAACCAAAATACAACATATAAAAAGCACAAACAATAAAAACAAAGCAACAAAAGATATAACAATAAGACAAAAATAATAATAAAATAAAGAAAAATAACAAATAAATAAATAACCAGCCAAAATGTAATAACATCTGATCATCATGGTCTGCCAATTCAGACAGAATGAGAATGTTCATAGAGATTTCATTCATTTATTTGTTCCTGTCGCAAATTAACTATTAATGTATCTGATTGATTTGTTTTACAAATGTCCGCTTTTTAAAGCCAATTAGGCTTGATTCCTGCAAAAAAATTAAGCAATCTGTGGTTAAAAAAAAAACATGATGCAGTGAAAAGTTGTTTAAGAAAGCTGAAAGCGAGAGAAACAACAGCTCATTAGTTTGCTCTCCACCATATGGGCTCTAAATGACATAAATGTATCATGGGTGCTATACGGTCCCTGCGTTTACCAGTCAGTATCAAGGGAAAACTTACATCCTGCAACAACACAGATGTCTCGTTAGCCCAATTTCTGGAGTCCTAACTGTAAGTAGCAGGGTGAATTTACTGACACGTTCAACAGTACTAAACCACAATGAGACGAATCAGGGTGAACTCTGGGTAATCAAAGAGCAGCTCATGCCTCACTAATGTCCAGCCACAACAAAAACAGTCATTAAACGCAAAGGCACAGTCATTAAAGGGAAATCTAATTTGCTTTGTGAGGTGTGAATGTTTGGCTCTGATTGAAGCTGTATCTGTTAGACAGCCGGAAACGACCTTACTGAAGTTTGTATGTGGTGAATGATCATCGGAAGAAAGAGTCAAACGGGGTTATGACATTATGTAAAGCATCATTGATCTATGGTAAACAACAACTGGAAACAGGAAGTTCATTCATCAAATTTATGCTGTGTTGTGTCAGCGGCTTATGAAGTCTGCTTGACAGATAATGTCATTAGGAACCGATTCTTCATTTGAAGGGCTATTTGAATAATAAAACAACACAAAAACAAAACACACTGATTCTGTATTAAAAATACACAATGACATTGTAACAAACATAATAAAAACAAACAGACAAACAACAAAACAAGAAAAAGTAGCAATCAAAAACACAAAAATAAAAAAAGAAATAAACAATAAGAAAAAGAAAAAGAAAAGAAACAACAAAAACACGTAATACAAAAGAAAAAACAAAATACCAAAAATAAAAGAAATAAAGATAAAAAGAAGCAATAAAGCAAAAAGAAAAATGAAAAAATACAAAAAGAAAAGTCAACAAAAAGCAATAAAAAGATAAGCAAAAAAACAAAACAAAAAAAATACAAAAAAGCAAAAATAAAAAAATGAAAATAGAAACAAGAAATAAAGATAAGAAAAAGATAAGTAACAAATCAAATGCAAAATACAAAAGATAAACACAAAAATACAAAACAATACAAAAAGTACAAAAAGAAAAAAGAACAAAAGGAAAGAAATACAGATAAGAAAAGGAAAAAACTAACACCAAACACACACACACAAAAAAAAAAAGAGAAAAAAAGCAACAAAAGAAAATGATTATTTTCAGATCTCATTCTGGAAACTTTATTATTATTATTATTATTATTATTAAGTCCATTTGGTCCATTTTTTTCTCATAATTTAGGAAAAAACAAAAACAAAAACACACACAAAAAAAAAAAAAAAAAAAGACAAAAAAAGCAACAAAAGAAAACAAATA